ATATATGTCTTTTTTTGTAAAACAGCATATCGATGCGTGGGTGTCACGTCTTCTAATAATTAGGAAACTTAAGGAAAATAAAAGAAATACACGATATACAATTATGCCGACGTCTTTTAACGCCGTTCACTTGAAGAATCAACGAGATGAATCATTTGCGTTGGGCAATGGACAAGCTAAACTTTATCCTGCATGGTGGGAGGTCGATAAGGTTAGTGTTTATTTTAGATTGAGTTTAAAGGTATTCATAAATAAGAGCTCCAATAATGTTGAAGGCAAAAAGTACTATCGCAATAATTTAGCCAGAATGAGTCCAATAATTAATCCCATCCAAGAATTTAGCCAAATGAGAGCTTCATCCCTTGAAAATATCTCTCAAATCAGACAGTGATATGTAATTGATCATGCTGTCATATACTATTATCTTCAGGGATGGGAGCTGAAGTTGGACGAGAAGCCAGTGACGACGTTCCAAAACAGGGATAAACACCTGCAATCATAAGTAATAATTCATTTATTTGCGCACTTATTTATGAACACCTTTAAAAAATTTAAAAAATAAACACTAACCTTATCGACCTCCCACCATGCAGGATAAAGTTTAGCTTGTCCATTGCCCAACGAAAATGATTCATCTCGTTGATTCTTCAAGTGAACTGCGTGAAAAGCCGCCGGCATTATTGTATATAGCGAATTTTTTTTATTTTTCCTAAGCTTCCTTATTATTAGTAGACGTGACACCCACGCATCGATATGCTGTTTTACAAAAAAATACATATATTAGTGAATTACATTAATTTTTAAACAAATTAATCAAAATCATATATAAGACAAATATAAGACTTACCTCCCCATCCAAATAGCCACTGTCTTCAACCCCTAATAGCACACCCCACCAAGACCGATCAAGCAACAAAAACATTTCATCGTTGAGTTTGCTGATGTCAGTGTAACACCCTTGGCTCCGCTCATGTAGATAAAAATCAACTGCGGTCTTAGCCCAAAGGGTATTATCCACAATTGTTTCCGGTAGTTGTCTCCTCTCCACTTCAGATACCGGAAGGGTACTAGCCGGTAACTCATACGAGAGCCAACTCTCATCCATCATGTCCGGAACCGGTGGGGGTTTCTCAATACTTCGATATATTACCCCATGTGAATCGGGCTCTGGAATGGTGGGAGGAACCTCTTCAACGATGACAGTGGCCTCTTGAACGGTGGGGGGGAATCTTGAGGGAGGATAGGGGCCTCTTGAACGATTGGAGGGGACTCTTTAGGGATGACCGGTGAGTCGGGCTTCTTCTTGCGGAGTCTTCGCACCATTGGGGTGAACGGAGACGTAATAGTACGTCCACGCCGTCTGATGCGTGAACTCCGTCGTGCAAGGAAAACCCGACGTAAAGCATCCACCTTATCGGGCAGCTAAAAAAAATTAATACATAAATCAATAAATAAACAGACATGATATTAAACAAAGACAAATATGTTTCAAACTAGCATTGTATTCACCCAAGTCATTATTCTATCATAGTTCACAAAATGCTCAGATAACATTCCAGAAGTAAGCACTTATATAAACATTTAAAAGGACAACATATATAAACATTCCAGAAGAAGAATAGTTTACTTTCGCAACACGAAACTTAAAATCGCAACACGAAAATGACTATCGCAACGCGGAAATGGCTATCGCAATGCGAAATGAAAATCGCAACGACAAAATCGCAACGCGAAACACAAATCGCATTGCGATTTTCATTTCGCGTTGCGATTTTGTCGTTGCGATTTCATTTCGCATTGCGATTTTGTCGTTGCGATTTTCATTTCGCATTGCGATAGCCATTTCCGCGTTGCGATAGTCATTTTCGTGTTACGAAAGTAAACTATTCTTCTTATGCAAATTGAAACTTGAATGGATTGCATTACTTCAACCAAAAGACAAAAACAAAACCAAAAACAAATACTAACAAAAACAGTTTAGCAGTATTAGCAGCAACCGAATGAATTACGAGTATGAAAAATCTTAAACTTACCTCGTTGCGTAGAGTATGAACCTCATTCTGCAACGATGCTACCATCTCACGTAGAGCGGCTACCTCACCGCGTAATGTAGACACCTCAACACGCCATGCACCATCATCTTTGCGTAAAGTACCGACCTCCTCACGCAAGGCATTGACCTCATCACGTAACTCCCCTAACTCATCCCGTTGAGGTGGAGAACAGGGAGATAAACGTCGTGGCATCTTTGCCGGTCGCCTATCTTGCGGTGATGGTGGAGAAGAGGCTCGATGATGTGACATAATAGGTGATGGCTGTCGTTGTGGAGGTGTATAGCCGGGTCGATCAGATGATGGCTCTGGGTGAGGTGATAGCTCTGGGCGAGGTGATGGCTCCCGAAGTGGAGGCTGCTCATTAACCGTTCCATCAAAAAAACGCTTACTAGCTTGCCACCAATCAGTGGCAAGCACAGCTTCCGTGGGTGTCAGCCTCTGTAGAGGAGTGTTGGCCTCCTAACAATATAAAAGCTCAAACAAAGTTAAACGTGTACTAGTAATAACTTGTTTATAAACATATGGTAGTATTTATGTTAACTTACATTATTTATTATCGTATACCGTAGTAAATCTTCCCATTGCAAGGTCCGTTTCCTCTTCTAGGAAATAGCCCTGGGAATATTATTTGAAGTTTTTATTGCATATGTCTTCATGGCGGGAAATGCCTCAAATATTCAAATCTACAAACAATATAATAACAAACATTAGTAATTGTTAAATAATTACTTATAATTTTGGAAACATTATATAAAAATTCTTACCTTAAAGGCCCAAATAAAGCCTGTCAAAGTGTATTTGGAACCATCGACATGCAAACTTTTTCGATCATCCAAGGCAGACGATAACTTATTCCATGTAGCTTTCCATAAATACGAGCCCCATGAAAACATGTTCCACGCATTTAGGTCTTCTACCAATTTGATTAGATCGTTTGGAATAGGTTGTCTGGCCTCTCTGCCTAAAAAGCCGGCATGCAAAAGAATTAGAAGGCATACTCGGACAACGTCGACGTCATCCATCCGAGTAAAACCATCTTTCTTATTCAATAATATCGTCAGGTCTTCCACGTGTAGATTCGGCCTCTCCAGCTCAGGAAAAACCCGGGATAACCATGATGGGCGGGTAATATGTCTAGTGTACCGACCTACATCATCGTGTCCGAAGCGTAGACCGGTGATTAAGCAAAACTCCTCCCGCCCAAAACACGTATACGCCGGTGGAAAATCAAACCATATCTCTTCATCACGACGTTGTATAGTATCTGGTAGATCCCTAGTCATGGTTTGAAGAAATAGGTGTGTCAACATCGCATCTCCACCGGGATGTTGTACTTTCAGCCATGGCCCGAAGCAAGTATCCTCAAACATTTTTCTTTGTGCAGGTGAAAGCTTCGACGCAATTGTTTTGGCCAGGCTGACTTTATTTCTTAAGGTTAATTGAGCCAAATAAAAGTTCTACAAAAACAATAAACACATACTAAGTTAGATATACCAAAAACTACACTGTGAAGATATACCAAAAACAATAATAAACATAAAGAGTAGTAGTTTATTCTTCAAACTTAAATTTGCAACACTGTGAATTTCTTATTTGTCTTTGTTTTTTGGTTGAAGTAATGCAATTCATTCAAGTTTCAATTTGCAGAAGAAGAATAGTTTCTGAAAATGAAAATCGCAACACGAAAATGACTATCGCAACGCGAATTTGACTATCGCAACGCGAAACTAAAATCGCGTTGCGATTTTCATTTCGCGTTGCGATTCTCGGTTAATAATAAGCAATCTAAGTGAAATGGTTAATCTATTATTGAAATTACCAGTAAACTTATCATCAATTTCAATATGAAAAACATAATAATAATGCAAATTTTTTAAAAAGAAAATAATTAAAAAAAACTAACCCTCGTTGGTTGATTTGGTTGATTTTCCATTTCTGATTGTGAGGGTGGCTTTGAGAGATGGAGATAGACGGATTTCGTCGGAGATGGGGACGGATTTCGTCGGAGATGGGTGAGAGAGTGAGAGATGGAGATGGGACTGAGTTGTGATTTTAGGTTTTAGGTTATGAGTTGCGATTACGGGATATACTGTGGACGGTTCAGTGTTCCAATATATTAATATTCGTGTTTGGAATTTAAAAATAAAATACTTGGCCAGGATACTAATGGCGCTTTGAAAATCGCATTGCGATTATGTATTATCGCGTTGCGAAAGTCAGAATCGCGTTGCGAAAGTCAGTATCTCGTTGCGATTTTGTATTATCGCATTGCGATAGTAAGTATCGCATTGCGATAGTCAGTATCGCATTGCGATTTTTCCAATTCGCGTTGCGATTTACTTATTCGCATTGCGAATTGGGAAAATCGCAACGATACTGTAGACCATCGCAACGCGATTTCCAACTATCGCAACGCGAAATGCAACGCGAATTTGCGATAATGGAGATCGCGTTGCGAATTAGCGATCGCATTGCGATTTTGTTGGTCATTTTGGCAAATCCGGAAAAAATTGGTTAAAATCGTATATTATAAGACATTTTTGATCACTGAGGCGATTTTCTCTTTTTTATATGTCGACTTCTTTTCATTAAACTTAAAGTCGACCGTGTAATTCAAACAAACAAACAAAAGGCTTAATACCTCGGTTACCAATTATATCATTTGTACCAAATTATCTTTTAAAGTATTTTTTGAAATATTTTATTCTTTTAATTGTAAATCGTTATCTCATCTCGTTTATCTCAAATAGTTAATACTGTTAAAAATCTCGAATCAATCAGAACACTTCACGTTAACTTGTAATTTTTTCTTTTTTATCTAAATAAATAGAAAATAAAAATAAAATAAATAAATAAACAATATCCCTAAAATACCCCTCTTCCCCACCCGCAATCACCTCCACCGTCAAACCCTTATCCCATTTCCCATAGCTTTATGAAACACACGGAAAAAACAAATCAAACTTATAAAATGGTAATATAGCACATTATTCCTCTGTTTTACTCTCAGATATCTTCCTGTTGCCGTATATCAATCCATTATCCTTCCATCCAATTCACACCCAAAAGTCGACAATAAGCTTTAATTTCAACATAAATCTGAAAACGAAACTAACATACAAGAAACCCCCTCCCCCCAAAGGGCATTAAATCAAACACCTGGGGATCAGGAATCGGTTTCCGTTTCTCTATATAGCTATAAGGATCCGAAGCTGTGAGAGCTGCCCGTTCCTACAAAATCAACGATGAATCTTTTGTTTTAAAACAAAAACAAGTGTGGGTGAAGAGTTTGGTTAATGCCGGAGCTAATTCCAACCATGGATCCGGGGGTTTAACTAATCTTTGAAAACCCAACAATTTTTCCTTTCGGATTATAAAGATGTTAAACCAATAAAAGGAGGATCATCATTTTGGTCTCTCATGGAACATCGAAAACCATGGAGATGTGGAAATGGAGCATCGGTCATCGGTTTTCACTGCCTTTGATTGAACTGAAAAAACGAAAAGGAAAATGGATAAAGAGACCGGGGGGGAGAGATTGGGGTACAGTGAAAATAGAAAAAAAAAGAGGGTGATGGGGAAAGGGAAGGGGTTTGGAGGTCGAAGTGGGTGAAAATAGGGGTATTTTAGGGATATTGTTTATTTTATTTTTTTATTTGATTTTTATTTATTTAGATAAAGAAATAAAAATTATAGTGTGATGTGGCGTGTTCTGATTGGTCCGAGATTTTTTTTAAAGATATTAACGATTTTGAATAAACGGAATAACGATTTATATTTAAAAGAGTAAAACATATCGAAAAATACTTAAAGAGATAATTCAATACAAATAATATAATTCAAGGGGAATAGGACATTTAAGCCCAAACAAAAAAAATGATATTATTGTTGGGCATAACGGCATGTATAGGCTGTAGATTAGACGAGACAGACTGCGAGTTATTTGAGATTGACTCGGTTAAAGCTTGATCAACACTCGAATCGAATGAATTCGACTCGAACTCGACTCAAATTCTTAACAAGCTAAAACGAACTACTTAATACTCGACTCGAAAAGCTCACGAGCTTCTTGAAAAAATGTTATATTATAATTTTAGATTTTTTTAAAATTACATTATTAAAAATATATTAAAAATACATTATTGATAATTATAAATTTTTAAAAATATATTTTAAATGTAATATAAGATTTTTGTAGCTTCAAATTTGAGTTTGAGTTCGAGCTAGAATCTAATTCAAGCTTGAATCGAGCTTAAAATCGAGCTTCAATCGAGCTCTTGAATTTTTTTTTGAGTTCGAGCCTTTTCGAGTTCGGGTCGATTTTCAATATTATATTTCAAGTTCGAGTTAAGCTTGATAATTTGTAGCTCTCGAGTTTTCGAGTCGAGCCTAATTTTAAACTTTTCGAATTCGAATCGAGCTTAATAATACTCGAACTCGACTCGGCTCGTTTTCAGGCTTAGGCATGTATAGGAAATTTGCTTAATTTTCGCTTAATTTTCAATTGCCACATAACGATGATGCATCTGGTAATGAAATGACAAACGTCAATGCGTGAATAAAATTATTGTTGAATTTGGAAGCCGTTTGATTTCTTTGTTGTTTTGCTTCTTCTTTTCTTGTTTCCACCTTCTTCCCATTTTTCGCCGCTGTAATTGGAAATAAGTTGAGACAAATGGGATTTATTGCAACAATTTCCTTTTTCACGCCTGGATTTTTATCAACAAATTTTAGAACAAATAATTGAAAATTCTCCATTGACATTTTCCTTTTCTTCCAGATTTTAAGTTCGTTGTTCACCAAGAGTAAACATTTTCTCACTCTTTCTCTAAATAGAAATTATTTAGAAATAATAATGTTGTGATTCTTACATTATTAATTTATAACGTTATGATAATTAAAATATCATTGTAAAAGGAATTATTTTTTAAATTTAATTTATAAATTTTAAATAAATATTAATTTAATCTATAAATTTAATTAAAATCTTCCATCCTCGGTCATCCTAGTTGTATTGAATAAATTTTAATACAAATATTTGTGTTTCGTATTATATAATTACATGATATTTAAATTTACAAATTCTGCATAATTGTATCTAAATTCTTTTACCTATATTTTTAATTTTGGTAAGTACAAGGCAATATATGTTTAAATATAATTATCGTTGAACGTTCACACTCTTAATATTTTAGTGCTTGAATCTAAGACTTCAAAAATTATAATAATTCTTTTACGATTGAAATAATTCGATTCGTGCTTATTTATTTAATATTAGCGAGTTGTAAATGGCACAACTTTGGTATTTGTGAATCTAGATTTTCTTTTATTTAGTTTACACTCAGATAATTAAATATAAATGAAATATGAACTATTAAAATTATTTAACTTCTTAAAAATTATGTAATTAGAGTTTCCGTTGATGTGACTTTGCTGAAACTAAATCAAGATGCTTGTCCTTTTTTTTGTAGCTTTAATCTTTTTTTTCCACGAAAATGTTGTCATCCTTTACATTTTCAACAAATTTCGTGTACTCTGAGTTTGATTTAGAATCTAAAACTTAACAATGGGCGTAAATTTGATTCATTTTCTTTAAATACAATCGCCTTTGTAATTTTACTTTTCTTGCTTCATTTATCGCTCTGCTGATCCCTGGCAGACTCAAAGCAAGAAGAGATAGAAGCCATCCATTCATGGTCTGCTTCAAGATTAGTCAGTACTAGCCTCATGTATTCGTTTTCTCAGGTAATTCCCACTTCTTTTTCCTTGGTTCCGTGTTTGGCAGATGAGAAAGTTTTGAGAAAGAAAAAATGAAGAAGAGGAGAGTATATCGTTATTCTTGTTTGTGGTTTGTAAACGGAATATTTCCGTGTTCGGCAGATTATGTTAACGTTGTTAAAAATGGGTAAACTAATCAATTGACCACTTAACTATTTAGTCTTTTTACTTTTATCACTGATCTTTTAATTTTATCAATCACACCACATAATTATTTAATTGTTTCAATTAAACTACTAACAGTTAAGAATTGCTGGAAATGATGATGTGGCAGTTAAAAGAATTGGCATAATTCTACTTTTAATCCTTGATATTTATATATTCTATTAACTTGATCTTGATTTAAATTTAATTTAATAAATAACCATTCGATCAGAATCTGACACATGTCAACATATAATCATGACACGTGTCATCAGTTTATTTGAAGATTTATTTTATTAATTTTAATTTATTTAATTAAATTAATTTTTTATCCAACCAAATGGTGACACATGTCACCATCTAGTTGAAGGAAAAATAAGCTACAAAGAAGACATAAAATCGTGTTGTGGGCAGACTCAAACCTGGGTCACAGGGGTAAAGGGTACACGCCAATCCCACCCTCAAGGTTAAGTTATAAGATGCACAACCATGTGTATATGTTGACATGTACAGAAAATAATTTTAAATTGAATAATTTTAAATTACTTAATAATTTTTATTAAATATAGAATGTATGGAAAATATAATGATTTAATTTATTTTTTATATTTTATTTAAAAAAACTAGTATTTAAAATATATTTATATATATTTAGTATTTTTCATATATATTTTGATAAAAATATATATAAAAATATTTTAAATATCAGTTTTTAGAAGAAAAATAAAATATAAAAAATATAAATGAATCATATATTTAAATATAATTTTTAAATTGATTATTTTTAAATATAAATTAATTTAAAAATAATCAATTTAAAAATTATATATGTAACCATTAAACTATAAATGCAAAAATAAAAATAAATATTAAATTTAGTTTTAAAAAATACATATTTTAATTTTAAATTTTGAAGGTGGCATTAATTCTAGTATCATTATATATTAATATGATTGTGTATCTATTAACTCAAACTGTGAGTTTAGTTTAGTCTAGCTTAGTGGTTTGGCATGTGCCCCTCACTCATGTGCCCCAAGTTCAAGGCTGCCTAACAACACTATTTTATGTCTTCTTTGTAGCTTATTTTTTCCTTCAACTAGATGGTGTCATGATTATATGTTGACATGTGTCAGATTATGATTGAATGGTTAATTTGTTAAATTAATTTTAAATCAGGATCAAATTAATAGAAAATATAAATATTAAGGACTAAAAGTAGAATTACGTCAATTCTTTTAATTGCCACATCATCATTTTTGTCAATTCTTAACGGCTAGTGGCTTAATTGAAACAATTAAATAGTCATGTGGTGTGATTAACAAAATTGTAAGATTGGTGGTAAAAGTAAAATGACTAAATAGTTAAGTGGTCAACTGAGTAGTTTACCCTAAAAAATATTGAATTAGAAATTGAGTAAATTACATTAGATACCACCAAACTTTAGGTGTTGTATCGTTTATACCACTAAACTTTTAATTTTGTCAATTATAGAACGAAACTTTGATTTTTGTTTCAATTATACATTGAACGTTAAATCGTAAACGAAATGATGACGTGGCTGATAGCTGTTGATGTGAGTGACGATTGCTAACATAAACACCTCACCAAAACGACATCGTTTTGATATGGTTGTTAACGAGTTAAAGTCCCAGTGGTATAATTGAAACGAAAATCAAAGTTCAACGCTATAATTGGCAAAATTGAAAGTTCAGTGGTATAAATGATACAACGACTAAAGTTCAATGGTACTTGGTACAGTTTTCCCCTAGAAATTTTAGGAACGAACTGTGACCTCGGTGGCAAAAAGAAATTATCATTATTCTTTGAGTTTATGGATTCAAGTATCATGAATGTCAGGTATAAGCGCTCAATGTCAAATGGTTGAGAGTTATCATCAATGATGCCAGACTTTGGCTTGATTCATAGGTCAAATTGATATTTTATCAGAAGTTCATGAGTCAAATTAAAAAAAACTTTTTACTACCATCCCATTACCAAAATAGCAACCTAAGTAATCGAAGAATCCATTGAATAACATTAGTGGTGAAAGAGAATATTATTCTCCCTAAAAGATTTAGGTTCGAGCAGTTACATCTACATGGTAGAAGTATGTTGTTAATAAACTAAGAAAAATTCTAAATAGATAGTAACTTGTAATCACTCTAGAGTACAAGGATACAATTTTATATATGTGACTAAAACGTTGGTTTTTAAAATTAATAACTAAAAGTGAACAAAAATAAAAACATAAATGCATTAATATAAAAAGTCATAAATAAAAATTTAAAGGTTCAAACCACACATTATGCAATCTATTATCACTATATAAAATAAACTTTAAATTTATAAATTAAAGTTTTATTCTATTTATTAAAAAGCAGGAAGAGAAGTGTTAAATTTGATTTCATTGGAGTGAATTCATTTTGTCGGTTTGTCAAATTGTTAATATTTGTTCTCTCGTATTTCTTTAAGTCATGAGTTCTAGATTAATTAAAACCACCCATCTTTCTTCTTATTAGGAACACTCATCTTTCTTCGAGTCCTCCTACTTCCTTCTAAATAAAATTAGGATTAGATTTCAAATTTTTCAAAAAAAGGATTAATTAAAAAAGAAGTGCCCAAACTATATCACTTTCTCCAAATAGGTGCCCAATTTTTTTTAATCATCTAAGTGTCTAACGTTACAAATGTTACCACTTTAGGTATTCAAAGCATAATAGTCGTTAAATTTTGTCGTTAAAGGACACATTTCATGTCCTGGTAATTTTAAATTTTTTATTTAAAATAAAAAATGAAAATTATATATATATATATTTTAAAAAACACAAAATTTTCAAAAACACTTTAAAAAGCCCCAAAATTTTGAAAATCCTCATTTCAACCCCTAAACCATGTCAGTCACCGCCCTTTATCGTCGATGAAGCTTCACTCAACCTCACGTCCACCCGACGATCGGTAACCCTATGAAAATGCAATCAATCGATGTGTGTACCCCGACAAATCCTACACTGTAAATTGCGACCCCACGTGACCTTGGAGGCCAATTGACAACAAGTATGAAGACATATGATTATGAATATGGAAAGGACTACATTGAGAGCGGTGGTCATTGGGGCTAGCAATGGATCGGAGATGGGTCGGGTGGAGCTTCATCCGCCCCATCACCCGCGGTCCAAATCTCCATCCACACCATCCATCACCCACAAAAAATTTCATCCATATCCGCTCCATCCATCATGAGCGGGTGGAGCGGATGAGAAATGGATGATACTATGAACAAAACCTATTTTTACATCCTAAGCTCAAATTCTTCTAACATTCATAGAAACCAAACATTGATACTCAAACATTCATAGAAACCAAAACATGAACAATACATTTTCATCAAATTCAAACAAAAACAAAATGGAACACAGTTTATATAGTCTTGTGCACTATGTTTGTGATACATTTTTCAAGTGAATAGATGCATCATGTATAGTCTTGTACACCAAATATAATCATCAAATCTTCATCAACAAACTATCACTTCTCAAAAGTCCTCTCCATCCTAGTATCAATAGGGATAAACCAATATTAAAAAATTAGACATATTTTCAATGGGATAAAAGTCAGAATTAAGAGAATAAGAATATTTACAATCATCCGTTTATTTTTTTAATATAATATAATATATATATATGGATGGATGGATGGATATATTAATGGGTGGATGGATGCTGCGGGTGATGGGTCAAAAAAATTTCATCCATATCCGACCCGACCCATCACCCGATCCATCAATCACCCGCCAATCATCCGTTTCACAGCGGGTTTTCATCCATTTATTCGGGGCAGGTGAGTGGATAATCCACTCACCCATGGATAATTGCCAGCCCTAGTGGTCATGGACGGTAAGGATGATGTCAGTGGGTTAGGGATTTAGGATTTTTAGGGATATGAGTTTTTTAATAATTTAAGAGAAATTATGCTTTTTTATAAATATAATAATATATTTCATTTTTTAAAAATAAAATTTTCAAAATTACCAGAATTTGACACATATCACTTAACGAATAAATTTAATGATAGTTACGACCCAAACAATTAGAATGGTAACATTTGTAATGTTAGGCTCCTAGATAATTAAAAAAATTGAGTAATTATTTATAAAAAGTGATATAGTTTGAACAATTATTTTATAATTAAACAAAAAGAAAGAAAGAAAAATTTATTGCTCATGGGTGTTCATATGGTCTGAGTTCAAGTCAAAAGAATAATCTCTTTATGATGACAATGAGAGTGTTCAACAATTCTACAAATAGTAACTATAATACAGAATAACAAAGTTAAAGGATGCTGAGCAACACCTTTTTAGAGCGAAATCATTGAAATGAAGAAGAGAAAAACCATAACTCACACTGGATTTTGAGAGGAATTTGTCCGGCCTTTAAACCCACTAAATTATATTTATTTTACGACTTAAGGTTACTTTTACTTTTGTAATAGATATAATTTATCATTTTTTTATAATTTTTTGTATTAATTTAGCCTTCTAAGTTGTTTAGGGACATCATCCTAACCCTCAAAATCTATTGACCGTTTTAATCAACAGAACCGTGAGTCTTTAGTGTCTGTCAATTAAGGAATTTTATTAAAATATTTATTGAACACAACGGTTATTTTTTTAAAATTTTATTATTTATTTTAGTAAGATTAAGGGTATTTAAAAATTTTAGGGTTTTTTTAACCACTATATTTAGTAAATATTTTACATATTTTATTATTTATTTTTTAAATAAATATCACGCCATCATCAATCCACGCTTGCAATATTAGCTGAAGTGTAAATAGTTGACACCCACAAACGCAGATAACAAACAATTATGTTAATCAAAATAGATTTCGAGGATAAGGATGATGTCTCTAAATAACTTTGAGATTAAATTGATGTGAAAAAACCATAAAGATGGAATTTATAAATTAAATATACTACAGAGACAGAAATAATTCTCAAATCTTATTTTATCAAATTATACCTTTAAAATATTATTTAAGTTGCTCTACAACGATTAACTCCATTAAGAAAAAAATCATACAACTAACGTTTAGAAAAACCCTAGTCGCTCTCTCCCTTTTTTTTTCTTTACAATTTGTGTCATTTTTTATAGATCGAATCAACTTTTTCTTCTTTAATTTTATTTAGCCGACAGTGACATCAATTTTGATACTGATTGTTGATCGTCGATTGTCTTTTTTCTTTGTTTATTTTTTTATTTTTTTAATAAAAATAATTTTGTTTCTGTGACACGTTTATCTATGCGTTTGTGGCATATTTATCTACGTCTTTTGGTAGTTTTCTATTTTTTGGATGTTGTTTTATTTTATCTTTTTTCTCAGGGTTAGATTTGACATTGCCACGACTAATTAAAATGACACTTATTTGTTATCATATTGATCTTCCCTGCATTGGACACTCGAATTGATTTGGATACGCGTTTTACGTTTGTGGATAGTTTTCTTACATCACTCGACTCTAATTTGCGATTTGTCGGTGGTCTTTCAGTAGCTTCATCCTCTTTTGTGGTTTGTTTATCGATGTAATCAGATTTGTTCATATCTTTATTTTATTCGAGCTTTATGGTTAAGTTTTTAAACATTTTCCTTATTTGATCCTTATGTGATTTTGGTGGCTAATTTTTGTCTAAATAATAATAGAAAAATATCATAATTATATTTTAGATTTACAGTTATACTTATAAATCTTCATTGTAATTTCGAATATTTTCTATTTTTAATAAAACTATCGAATTTCAATAAAAAAAACTCCATTAAGAAAAAATATAATAGAATTAATTTAGGGGAAGACTGTGCTTTAAGCTTTCCTTTAATCTCTCTTGAGTTATGACCCTCGTGCCAGCCCAGAACACAGACGTAGATTGGGCTGAATCATGAAACATGATTGGTCCCAATGGATGTGAGGGAATGTCGAGATGGCTACTACTGCTGCTTTAGATATGGGTCTCAGGCCGTTGAGGATTTTGTTGAAAAGGGTTCCCGAGGTTTTAGCTTGTAAGGCTGCCGAGAACAATGTTTTCTTCTTTAATAATTTGAGATGATTATAAAATAATATATATTCAAAATTTTCTTAATCTCCGTATATATACAACTACTTGAATGGATGACTTTTAAGGAGGGCAAATGGACAATAGTCTTTTCTATAACAACAATGTTGAAAAAGCCAAAGAAAAAAGAAAACAAAGATTATCAACATAAACTCTTCAGTTGCTCAAACCCATAATTTCTAGGTTGATTCATATTTTTTATTACCACTAAAATTACTTGACGGGTTAATCTTATTCATATTTTTAATATTTAACAAATGAAATTAATAAAATAATACATGAATGAACACAATTAGAAACTTCGTTGTGCTGGCTTATGATTAGTTACGTTAACTAAAAGCAGAAAAAGGAAAGTTGGCTAAACTTTAAAGTACTATTTTATTTTACTTGACCTTTAATTAATCATATCCCGTTTGCCTTTAAATAATCAAATTATAATGAGTACAAATATATTCAACACAAAATAGGAAATGGAAAGTGTAATGATTATAAAAATAAAATATGGCAATTTTTCCGAATTAAGAAAGTTTAATGAAAAAATCTGGGAATTTAAATCAGTCAGGGTGTTGAGGCTGTGAACAATACAAACTTATGAAAAATAATAAAACATTTTGCTTCGAAGTAAGTAATTCTGCATAAATGAACGAAACACAATAATACCATTTGCATATGGTATGTTTGTTCCATTTGCCGATACCCAGAATTAGAACAAAACCAGCAGTTTTTGGACAAGAAATGCAAAAACCAGCAACAAAGGCAAGAGATAAAGAGAAAGGAGACAATCAACTCAGAGGTAGAAAACAAAGAATTTATGTTCTACTAAAGACGGAATTAACAATGACAAAATAAATCTCTTTAATTGTTATCCTTACAAGTCATATCCTCTGTTTTCATCTGCCACCACCGGTACTTGATTACTAATCAGCAAAAAAGATCAAATAACACAAGTCCAGTCCATGTATGTAAAAGGAGCAGCTAAAATCCGCTGCTTTCTATCAAATTCAGTATCATTTTTTTCCTAAATTAAGATACAGAGGACCCATTATTAATAGAAACATGAAGCTGAATACCACCCTACCTGTTATTGTTGTCGCGAAGATTGATATCACCAACTGCTGATATATCTTTCTTGTTAAAAGTGTTCTTGTTGTTATGCATCCAAACCTTGAAAACGCCTCTATCGACCCCAACTTCATAGCAAAACTCTTTTATCGATCTTTCTTCACTCTTTGCCATTCTCCAACCAAGCCTCTCCGCGAAAGCATGCATCTTTTCTTTCTGTTCCTTTGTAAACTTTGTTCTTGACCTCTTTCTCCCATTGTTGTTGTTGTTGTTGTTTATCCTCGGCATCGAAGGATGGGAGCTGTCGAGCAACGGCCCGGAGTATGCAGTGGTCAAGGCCAGCAGCATGTGCGGTGCAGAAGTACTGTAGTAAGAGTATGGCACAGGTGAGGGCGGGGTAGTGCTATGTGGGGCTTGGACTAGAGCTAGCACTGGGTGGCGGTGGGAGGCGGCGGATGAAAGCAGGGCCATCGTAAGGGTCACGGCGGTGGAAGTTGCGGTGGCAACCACAGGCTGCACATTTGAAGGAGGCGGGGTCAGTTGGGGTGGATGAAGGGCTGGGCATGAACTCTCCACAGCCATCGAGGGCATGCCCACCCAAGCTAGCCGCATGATTTTTGAGGCACTCTTTGTAAGAAAGCACCATTGGTGATAGATTATGTAGCCGGTGCAGAGGAATAATAATGACTTGGGGTCTCTAAAATCAAAGACTAATCCTGTGGGTATGGGGTGGTTTTAATTTTGATTAGCTCCATTCCATTTGCCCATGAAGGGAATTAAAAAAAGGATGATGATGCCTTGAGACGTGGTGAATTAGAAGGACGGTGGGGGACCTTTTGTGGGGTTAGAATTTTCTTGGTTTTTGCCTTACGAGTCATGGGCCGTGATTGTGAACTTAATTATGATGATGATGTGGTGCATGACAAAAGTGATGGTGTTGGTTATAATGAAACTTATTATGACATTTATTGAAGGTAAGATGAGACATGAATAATTTAGGAAGTAAAAGAAACAAAATAAAGATAATATGGAAATCTAGATGTAGCAGGTATACGAGAAATGGAAGGACAAATGGCATCAAATAATTTGAAGTTGAACCACTAGTTCACGCCCCCTTTGATGTTTCTTTTATTTTTCACCGACTGATTTTATTATCAGAGTGAGTTATGTGCAGTAAATAATACACCACGTTCATCCAATTGGAGATTGCACCAGAAAACATAGTACGTGTATGGTGAATATGGACTTTCTCTACTAACTGTGGTAACACTAAAATTTGAATTCTTCAATTTTTTTTAGATAATTATTTATTTTATTAATTGTGTTAGTCGGATATAAAATTTTATGTTATTAAGGGTAAATTTTCAAAATTTGAAGGGAATGTGTATTTATAAAATTATAGGGGAAGGAAAATATATTATAAATAAAAAATATTTATAATATATGATAATTTGAAAATTTCATTGGATGACTACTTTTACCTGCCCCTTTAATCCTTCCTTGATTTTGACCGCCCTCAAATATTATCTTATTCATTCCGTACAAAAATTTTATATTATTAAAATATATATTTATCCTCAAAAAATAATTTTTGATCCACCAGTGATCTTGTCCCTAAACCCACCTTATTTCACACCCTTATTCAAAGTTGACTAGGTTGTTTATAATATTATTCCAAATTTGTGTGCTTTGTTTGCAAGTGAATATTGGATTGAAAAGGTATTGTATTGAATGTCTTGTTTTACAAACCAAGCAATGACCTAGAGTTAGATCAATCAAGACTTGTACTAGTGTTTAAGATTTTATGAAGTGGCAGAATTTGAGGATTTAAGCTGCACACGGCTGCATTAATCTAATTCATAACATAATAATAAAAATAAATAATAAAAAGGATAAGGATAAATCGAGAGAGACAGGTGGGGCAACCTTCCCTAAAATTTTAAAATGATAATATATTTTGGATTTTTTATATATATTTTATTAATTCTTTACATCCTTCAATATTTTATAACTTCAAATTTACTTTCCTAGCATAAATTCCTCCCTTGAAAAGAGCATTATCATCCTCTTGATCATGCCTCTCCTCGCTTCCACGTGTTGTCCGTAAAGCAAAAAGTAACATAATTAAAAGGATAGAGATAAATTGAGAGGACCTAAAATTTTATAATGATAATATATTTTAAATTTTTATGTATTAATTTTTTCATTCCTAAAATTTTAAAAGTTAAAATTTATTTAATATAATAAATTCCTCCCTTGAAAAGAGCATTATCATCCTCTTGATCATGCTTCTCATCTCTTCCACGTGTTGTCTGTAAAGCAAAAAGCAATATACTACGACAACCAGGTGACCTAACTCATTTTTCCATTTTCTTCATCTAAATTGTATTTGAACTCATATTTAATTTATAATTATCTTTATAATTTTATAAATATTTGAATAATAATTGAACGAGAATCAAACAAAATCTATAAAACCAAATCGAATATTATTATTGAGTTTGATTTTAAGAGGTGATATTTTGTCTTTTATGCTTTACGACTCATGCTAATCCTTATTCCTCAATCATGTGCTATTGCAATCCAAGAAAAAAAATCTAAGCTCCAATAACTCAATCATGGAATAGATGAGGAAGCATCAAAATTTAAATTGATTTAGGACAAAGATTTCTTAATAAAAGCCTAAAAGGGCAATAGAATTAGAGTCCCATAAAACTTGTTAATGGATAACGGCAATGTACTGACAATCATGTCATCATCAACGACGCACGCGCATTTCCACACAAGTAATGCTCTACCATTGAAACAAGCTTTTGACTTGCTTCGAAAACAACAAGACTTTTACCAATTCTTCCATTCTCACCCTTAAAGCTTCTTTGCACATAAACAAGGGAGAGGACTCCTAACAAAGTGAAATTTTTATGTGACATACCCAAACTATGGGGTCGATTCGATGATTGTTTTTTTAAAAGGGTTTATGAAATGATGACAATCGTCACCAATTGTTTATAAAGTTAGATTGAAACACTTAAAATATGTAATTTTAATATTTTATTTCATTAAAAATACCAATATTTTGGTTTGTGAAATTAGAAAAACGGATTTGGGAGTTAGTTACACATCAAGAAGGATTATCACCCCACAACGTCCAAAAATTTGTATATAGTCGATTATCCTATGTTTTAAAATTAAAAATTTTGAGTTCGATTTTTTTATTTAATTTAAAATCCATTATGTATGCAAATTTAAAAATGGTATAAATTTATTACGAAAAATAACAAATACTCCCAAGAATAAGCGAAAGTTTCATTATTGTTGAACTATGTTTTGATATAACAATTCAAGGCAAAATAGTTTTTGGACTTGAATTGAATTTACAAAATGTTTTTGGACTTAATTGAATTTATTCAAAGTTTTAAAAGGTTTCAAAAATAATTCAAAGTCCATTAAATTTGGATTTGAGCCAAAATGCTAAAGGGTGTCAAAGTGCATCCATGCATCCTTCTGTGCATCAATGCATCAAGGCTGTGCATCGATGCATCCTGTTGTGCATCCATGCACGAAGGTTGAAACGGCTAGTAACGGCTAGTTTATTTGAATTTAATGAAGGAGTATCGATGCACCATGATAGTGCACCGATGCACCATGTCATGAGCAGCCTTTTTGAGTAGAAAATTCATCCCCAAACGGCTCCAAAACATCCCCAACGGCTATATACAACATCAAACACATTCCAAGCTATAAATACAAGCTAAGGACACTTGAAGAAGAAAGAGAACAACTATCCAAGCAATCAAATACAAGAGAAGAGTTTTTCATTCTGATTTCATCTTTCTCTTGTAAATATTTTATTCTTGTGAGCTCAATCTTGTAAACACCTACCTTAGAGAGGTTTTCTTGTTTACTTATTTTATCATTTTGTAAAAGGGAAAGGTTCTAGCTTATCCCGTCTAAAAGCTAGGGAAAGGTTCTAGTTTAGCCTAGAAAAACTAGGGAATTGTAAGGTTATCTCTTTGTCCTCAAAAGAAAGAACAAATTAGTGAATTTGTTGGAAAATCCTTGGTGAGGAGCTAAGGTAGTGGATGTAGACTTGGTTGAGAAGTCGAACCACTCTAAATCGCTGTGCAATTCTCTATCTTTTAATCTTCTTACTCCCTAAACACAAAAAACCGATCCCGACCCTCTTTGCAAGCAATTCCAGTTGTCGATTCGAGCTTCCGAAGATCCCAACAATTATTAATCCCAATAAATAAACATTGCCTCGATAATTTAGAAATCATGATGCGAGGTTTTGGAAAAGAGGTTAATTTACTTTGGAAATCAATAGTGGTTACCCCCGGGAATATTCCGAAAGATACACCATTAATCCTTAATAAATAAACATTGCCTTGTTTTGAAATCGAATCATGCAGTCAAACAATCAATTATTGAATATAACCATACTAGGCGAGTTAATTAAGATTTTTCTATAACTGAAGTGTCAAATTATAATTTTTAAAGGACATAAATGATTAAATCTAAAATATAGGCTCTAATATCAAACCTTACCAATTTTAGCAATTTATTGAATCGAATAATTAAAATGGAATCTTGAGCATAATTGTGAGGACTAAATTAAAAAATTCTCCTAATTAAAGAACTAAAGTGAAACTAAACCTAAATTAAAGGCTCTAATTATGATCATAAACACTTTTAAGCAAATTATTGGGTCGAATAACTAAAATAGAACCTTATACATAAATTCTAATACCCAAAATTATAGCCTAGTAGTTTCAAGTTTACTCGAGAGGTATGTAGACTTCGTGGAGTTCATATTTAAAGTAGTCGGGCTAAGTGTGGGCTTAGTTGGTTTTGAATTGGGCCCATTTGTTCATAAAAGGGGGATTTTTGCTTAGTGAAAAGATGAGGGGGCCAATAGTGCAATTTTCCCATTTTAAAAAGATTAGAGCTTTTATAGCTTATTTAATCATATTCTCTTCATTTTATCTTTTCTCATTTCCTTCTCCTCATTCTTCTTCAAGTGCCATAGCTAAATGTGAGTCCTTTAAGAAATTTCATGCTTCTTTTAAGCTTCAAATTCATCTTTAATCCCTCCAACAACCTTGTATTAAAGATTCAAGCTTGGCATCTCAGGATTTACTAGAGAAAGGGGGGTTTATCATCGAAGCCTTAGAGAAGAGTGATAGCTAGCAAAAGGAGTTTTATTTTAGGATTCTAACAGTAAGGTAGTGTATTTTTAATCATTTATGATGATTTGTTAAGATTTGATTATTTTATTATTTTAAGGTTTATGCTTGATTTCATGATTAGATGGCGTTTTTAGAGTAAAACATGTGTTTTAATGTCACTTTATAACCCTAAATAACTTCATAAAGATTTAGCACATGATTAAGAACCAAACTAAGACCTTTGAGATGATTTTTAAGTGTTTCCCAAGCTTAAACAAGGCAGTTATGTGTTCGAGTATTGATATTGGATGAACTGGGATGATTTTTGGGCATTTTATAAGGAGAATATCAATACTCTAAGAAGGAGTATCGATAATGCAACCCTAGTATCGATACTGAGGGTAACAATATTGGTACTAGGAGGAATGTTAGAAAACAAAATACTTTGTTTGGTACTGATACTCAAAGGGGTATCAATACTTGACCTAGGAGTATCAGTACTGCATGTAGGGTATCGATACTACTAACTTTAGATTGTTAAATTCGACTTCGTTAAGGCCC